CTCTCAGAACCGGGCCGGGGAACGCAGCTCGCCGTGGCCAGAAAGGCTCCTTCGTTCTCTACCCAGCGTGGCCTGTGGCAGCACGCTGGCGGCACGGTGTAGGCCTCCGGCCAGGTCTCCTCCGCCGCCGCGCTCCGCCGCGCTCCGCCGCGCTCCGCGCTCCCGACCCACACCCTCGGCGTCGCCCTCGTTCGGCGCCACCCAAACCTACTTCTACCATGTGTGCGTCGCCCCCCCCAGGGGCGACGCGCGCACCGAGAAATCTTAGAGTCTATGCCTCGTGGCGGGCGCCGTCTGGCCGCACCGCTCGGGAAACGACATATACTACAAGATGGGTATACTATATGCTCGGGGCGGACGCGCGCCTCCAAGGAGGACATCTAGTATTTACCAGCCTCGAACTTGTCCCTATCCTTAAGATTGACACGCCAAAAGGCGATGACAATCTTAGGGATTCGCCCTCAAAAAATATGGGATTCCCTAAGATTGGCATCGTGATGAGGAGATGCCCAGCATAGGGATAGGGATATGTTCCAGGCTGGTAATACTATTTGTGTGTCCCTGTGCGTCCCAATCTTTCCGCAGCGTGCCCCCCCCCCCCCCCCCCCCCCGGAGGCGTGCACCCCTCCCTCGGGGGGCCCGCTTCTCGCCCCGAGCCCTTCCTCGACGGCCTCCCGGGGGGCCCGGCGAGGGCGCCCCCGGAGGCAGGGGGAGTGGCCGAAGGCCTCCCCCCCGGAGGCGCGCACCCCTTCCTCGGGACCCGCTTCTCGCCCCGAGCCCTCCCTCGACGGCCTCTCCGGGGGGGGCCTGGCGAGGGCGCCCCCCGGAAGCGGGGCGAGTGGCCGAAGGCCTCCCCTCGTGGTGTGTTTGTCACGCCTCGAGGGCCCCCGGGATCCGTGGTCGGAGACCGGCCCAGTTCAGCACAGTCCCGTTCGATTTTCCGTCTATTTCTGGCCTATTGCCTGCGTTCGGCGGCGAGCGAGGGGGGGAATTGGGAAGAAGAAGGCCTTCTCAGAAGGCGGCGGGACTTCTCAGGAGCCCTCGCGCCTTCTGAGAAGTTTTTCCTGTCTTCGGGGAAGGCTTAGAAAACTTCTCAGAAGTCCGGGGGACTTCCGAGCCTTCTGAGAAGGTACGCCCCTTCTCACTTCCCCCCTGGCTCGCCGCCTATGCCTGATCGGGCTTCATTCCCGCCTTCTCCCGGCCTGGTCCGGCTGAGAGGCCCCCCAGTCGGGCTCAGTGGCAGCTGACCGTTCTCGTGAAGACCTCCCCAGACTTGCTTCCCAGTCCAAGGGCCGCCCCGAGGGCGCGAAGTTATTCGTGCTTCGGGGCATCATCCTCATCCTCCTCGTCCTCCCCCCGGGGGGCGGCGCGAGAGCGCGCAGCCATGCGCGCGCAGCCCTTGCCCAACAGGCTCTCCGCCTCGGCGGGCCCAAGATTATGCACCACCACCACCACTTCCACTCCCCCTCCCTCCTCTGCCCTCCTCTTCTTCTCTTTCCTGGAAGAGGGATGGGGTTAGTCTAGGCCTTCTAGATGGGGTCGGAGTAGATGGGGTCAGAGGATCGCGCCGCATCCCAATTGCATCGGCGATGCGGCTCGATGTGGAACCCGATACCCTTCACGTCGACGTCGCCGATTCATCGCCCACGTCGACGATGCATCGCCAGTGCATCGCCGATGCATCGCCGATGCGTCGGCGATGCATCGGCGATGCGGCGCGATTCCCCGCCGCCATCTGCTCCGACCCAATCTAGGTGGCCTCTGGTTGGGAGGTGGCGGTGGTGGTGTACATGTGTTGGCCCCGTAGCTTCCCACACATCCGACTTCTCGATCTTTTCGAGACACGGGCCCCTCACCTTCCGTCCACTTCTCCGTGACCGGTTTCTCATCCCGAGTCGTTCTTTGACAGCACCGAGGCCCCCGAGGCCCGGCGAGGGCCCCCGGAGGCCAAACATTGCGAACCACCTCCGTCTCGATCTTGTCGAGGCGCCCGGTGCCTGGCTCCTCCGCCGCGCTCCGCCGCCGAGGCCCCATGCTCCGCGCGGGTGACCTCTGGCTCCGCCTCTCGCGGCGCTGGCGCTCTCTGCCCCTCGGCGGCGCACGGCGCGCATCTCTCGGAGACGGGCCGGCCCGCGAGGAGCGCCGCCACCGCCGCCGTCGTGCTCGTCGTGGTGGTGGTCGTCGTCGTCGCCGTCGTCGCCGTCGTCGTAATCGCCATCGTCGTCGCCGTCGTCGTCGTGGTCGTCGCCGTCGCCGCCGTCGTCGTCGTCGTCGTCGTCGTCGCCGTCGTCGTCGTCGTCGTCGTCGTCGTCTGTCGTCGTCGTCGTCGTCGTCGTCGTCGTCGTCGTCGTCGCCGTAGTCTTAGCGGAGGCTGTCGTCGGGGCAAGTTATCGGGTTTTTTGGTCTGCTCGAAGGTCCGCGTCGCCGCGCCTGGATCGGCTTCGTCGAAGGTCTGGCCAGAACGCGCTTCGCTTCAGGAGAGGTCCAGGGGCCGATTTCGAGGGAGGAGGAGGAGGAGGAGGAGGAGGAGGAGCAAGGGGATGGGAGTGGGTGCCTTGTTGAAGCCTGACGATTTGTTTGCCGAAGGTGCTTGGGATTTTTCTGATGCTACCGGAGGCTTTCGGGAGTTGACCAGAGAAAAGAGAGAGGAAGAGAGAGAGAGGGAGACAGAACATGGGAGAGAGGCAAGCTAGGGGCTTGAGCCATACCTGACATCCTATCCCTCCCGCTCATTCCTTCCTGTTTCGCTGATCTTCTCGAGTCGTTGATGGGTGTCGTAGCGTACCCAGATTTTGTGTGATGCGCACTCTGAAGGGGCAGCTCTGTATATTGGAGGAGGAGGTGGCGGATGAGCATGAGGATGAGCAGGAGGACTATGAGACGGATTAGGAAGGAGGAGGATGAGGATCCGAGAGGAGGAAAAGGAGCAGGAGGAGGAGGAGGAGAAGGAGCAGGAGCAGGAGGAGGAGGAGGAGGAGGAGGAGGAGGAGGAGGAGGAGGAGAAGCAGCAGTAGCAGCAGCATGAGCAGGAGTAAGTAGGGGGAAGGCGGAGGAGGAGGGAACAGAAGGGTGGTGACAGCGACGAGGAAGGAATCGGATCCAGAGATGTGGCCCGGGCTGGCGTGAGGGCGCCACTCGGAACGACGGGGGCAAAGCGTCAATCCTGAAATGAGGCTTATGCTGCAGCGGGAATATCGTTTGGAAGCGCCAGAAGTATACAGTCGGGGCCCTGAAGAAGGAACCCTTTTGGTTGGGGAGGGGCTCCGCAGTCCTTAAGTGTTTCACAGCTTGCCTCAGGTTTTCCTTATGTTTTCGATAGGAAATCGAAGTTAAACTTATGGAAAAAAGGGGCCCCGTTCCTTATTTAGGGTTCCTTAGGTCAACGCCCCGACTGTATGCTGCAGCGGGAATCGAGTTTGGAAGCGCCAAAAGCATACCAGTTGGAAACACACACACAAGCACACATACACTAAACATCGACCCGCTGAACTCTGTACGCCAGCAAGAATCGGGGAGAAGCGGCGTCCCGCTCGCCGAGTCTGCGGGGAGTGGTGGTGATGGCGGTGAGGACGATAGTCTAATCATGATGGTGATGATGATAATGCTTGCGGTGGTGATCATGATGATGATGAGGTGGCGAATTCAGATGAGGAGGAACGTGAGGAGGAATAAGCAGGGTTCTATTGAGGGTGATGATGGTGCTGCTGTTGATGATGACGATGGTGATGATTATGACAATGATCTTGATGATGTTGATGCTGATGATGCTGATGATGGTGATGATGATTATTATGATGATGCTGATGATGATGACGATGATGATGTTGATGGTGACGGCGATACTGATGATGATGATGATTATGCTGATGATGATGGTGGTGATGATGATGGTGGTGACGACGATGCTGATGATGATGATGCGTATGATTATGATGATGCTGCTGATGCTGATGCTGATGCTGCTGCTGATGGTGATGATGACGATGCTGATGCTGCTGCTGCTGCTGCTGCTGCTGCTGATGATGATGATGATGATGATGATGATGATGATGATGATGATGATGATGATGATGATGATGATTATGATTATGGTCGTTGTGGTGGTAGTGGAGATGGTCATGATGAGGATGAGGATGGCGGAATACGGAGGAGGGGATGGAGGAGAAAGGGGATGAGGATGCGGATGAGGGTGGAGGCGGAGGCGGAGAAGAACGCAAGATGAGGAGGAGAAGGGAACAGGGTGGGGTGGAGAAGGATGAACAGAAGAAACACGAGCAGGAAGAGGAGGAGGAGGAGAAGGAAGAGGAGGAGGAAGAGGAGGAGTAGGAGGGGGTTGTTCTTCGGTCTTGCTCTCGATCCTTTCCTCCAAGATTCTCGGACGGGTCGTTCACGGCACGCGTCGTAGACACATTCGTGCATGCGCCGACGACATCGGCATGGCTTTGAAGTGCATCTCAGACCCAGTGACTCTCCCCTCCGCTTCCCTTTCGCCTCCCTCCTACATCTTCCCTTTCTGCCGCTTATCTTCCTCCCCCTCCCTCCGCTTCCTCCCGCTCACCTCACTTCCCTTTTCCTTCTTCACCTCCCTCCTCCGGTTCCCCCCCTCTGGCCCTCCGACGCCCCCTGCCCCTCCCCCACCTCCACCCCCGCAGCTGCTCTGATTCGGCGGAGCAGATCTTGCTTTGCACCGGTACCCTGGCACTTCCGTACGCATCCCCTGAACCGCTGCACCGCTGCCTGGGTCATGCCCAGCACTTGGAGGCGGCCTGGGGTGTGCGAGCTGGAAAAACCCAGAGAAGATCGGCCCAGAGGTGTGGATGTGGGAATGAGGGTGAATTCGCTCAAGAACGGCCCCCAGACCCCGTTCAGGTTCCAAACTGAGCAGGTCTTCGAGCAGCGTGTGGCCGTGGCGACGAGGGGGGCCTTCCTCCCTCCTCTCTCTGCTGACCGGAACCCGCGGTGGGCCACCTCGGCCCCCCAGCCGTCTCCAACCCAGCACCATGTCTCGCGCCCTTGCCGTCGGCACCGCTCTGCTGCTGTCGCCGCTGTCGGCGATGGCGCTGCAGACCGAAGGTCACGGCCACGGCGAGTCGGAGGGAGGAGAAGCGACACCAGCACCACCAGGGGGCCCACCTCCAGCGAGGAGGTCCACGATGCCTCCCCGAGCTGGAGGCTGGGGATGTCTCGAGCGCGAGGCGAGCGCTTCGCGGTTCGGCTCCGATTCCTCCTCTTCCTCTTCTCCCCTGGGAGGCGGCGCGAGAGCGCGAAGTAATTCGCACTTCGCGCTTCGCGCTGCGCGAAGCGTGAAGTTGGGAGCCCTTGCTCCTCGCAGCTCCTCGCCCTGGCGGTGCTGGCGTCACCTCTCCCTTGGTCCCCAGGCGACCAGGGTGCGAAGGGCCACGCCGACGGGGCGAGGGCCCACACCGCGGCCCACGGCCATGGCGCGAAGGCCCACGCCGCGGCCCACGGCCACGGGGCGAAGGCGCACGGCGTGGCCCACGGCCACGGCGCCCAGAGCCACGCCCAGGCCCGCGGCGGCCATCCGAAGGATCAACCACGGCAGCGGCAGAGACTCTTCGGAGCTCTGCGCGGGCTCTTCTCGGAGCGGCGCCGGGCCCCACTTCGGCGCCTCTGGAGCATCTCTCGGCGGCACCAAGAGTCACGATGCACAATCCAGCCCCCCCCCAGTCCCTGGCCGACTGTGACTGGCCGACTGGCCGACTGGCCGACTGGCCGACTGGCCGGGAGTCGGAAAGTTCATCCCGGTGCCTCGAACATTTTCCAACTCGGGCTGGCGGCGCCTCCGGCGCCGCCCCTGGCGCGCTCCGCGCACCAGGGGAGGGGGGCCGTGCGCCGATCCGAGAAGTCCGCGCGGACCTCCGAAAGTTTCTACTGATGCAGCTCTTGCTTCTTCGGGCCATGGCGGCAAGAGCCATGCTCTCAGCAGCGAGGCCAAGATCCAGAAGCTGAAGAAGGACGCGCTCTTCAGCCCCTCGCACCACTTCACTGGCAAGGCCCAGACCGTCTCCGAGGGCTGCGACAGCTGGAAGGGGGAGGGGCTGCACTGCGAGACCGAGTTCCCCGAGCACGCTCTCGTGCGCGACTGGCTCCCCCCAGATGCCGTGGTCATGGAGTTCGGCGCGCGCTTCGGCACCACCAGCTGCGAGATCGCGCGCAAGCTCAACAACAGCGGCAACGTGGTGGTCGTAGAGCCCGATCTGAACGTGTGGGACGTCCTCGAGTCGAACCTGAAGTCGCACAACTGCAACGCCCACCTGCTCCGCGGTGCTGTCAGCTCAGTGGACCTTCACATGGCTGCCAAGCTGAACGTGAAGCGCGGCTACTCCAACAGGGCGCTGCAGAAGGGCGGCGTGGTGGTACCTGGCTACAACCTCCACGAGGTGGAGTCGGCCCTCGGCAAGAAGGTGGACTCCCTGCTGATCGACTGCGAGGGCTGCGCCCAGGCAAGGTTGATTTCGATCCGATCCTTCCGATTCGACATCGAATCCGGCTGGCCCGATCCTATGCGATTCCGATTTGCCAACGATCCGATGCGGCCCGATGCCTGCATGGCGCAGTTGTGCATCCTGGCGCAGTCGTCCGATCCGATTCGGTCTCGACTCCGTGCCGACTCCGTGCCGATGTAGCACGATCCGACGCAGATTCCGATCAGATCCGATGTCCCGATTCGATGGTGACTAACCCTACCCAGGACATGATGGACCAGCTGGGCCCCGTCATCGAAAGCGGGCAGATCAAGCTGCTACTCATCGAGGGCGACATGCCTGTGGGGGCGAAGGACTGCCACTCGCACTGCATGGACTACAAGAAATTCTTCGCCTACCTCGAGAAGCACGGCTTCAAGATGGTCGACAAGTTCAACGACTGCGACATTGAGCGCACTGGCGCCCCCAAGGGCAAGTGGTGTGGCAAGTGGATTGACCACTTTGCCTTCCAGCGCAAGTGATCAGGCAGCCCCAGGATATGAATCAGTCTTCCTAGAGACCTCTCAAGAGCGTTCCATAGCGCTCTGGAACGGCCGCGGCACCCGATACATCCACTGGAGGCGCAGGACCTCAGAGATCCGCGAGTCATTGGTAATCGTTTCGTTTGTATCCTGCCATCGTCTTGATAAGGTCAGTGGTTCGGCACGTGA